GTGAAGAAAAAAATAATAAAAATATATATGTAATGCTAGAAACAAGTGACAATTTCATTCATAATGATTTCGGAAACAATTAATATATCTTTTTGCCAATCATATTTATTATTTGTACCGCTTTATTCAAGGTAGAACTTTTAGGCAATGAGGCGCACGCTTTAGTGCCTTGCCTACACTGAAGCGCAACCTAAGTGAGGCGAAGTGCATTCCCTGAACTTTTTTGAGCTTCAGGGCTTAAGCGCGCCTCAAACGAGCTTTTGACAACAGCAGGCCTAATAGCCATTACTATTTATATGTCGCTTCTGTATAGATTTGTTAAGCCTTCTTCGTCTTTGTGTGCAGGACAAAGAAAGAGATGAATCGTCGGAAGGATATGCTTGCAAATTTAAAATCAAAAGCAACCCAAATGGCCTCCACATTGAATATGTCGAACTTTGCCAATAGGGACAGTTTGCTTGGACCAGAAAAAAAGGCAGCAGATGCTATGAGCAGAACTACAGGCCTTGATAATTATGGTGTTGTTGGTCTTCAAAGGCAAATTATGAAGGGCAAGTTTTTATATACTTTGAAAACTTCTCTTGCTATTGGCTTTTCTATTTCATTCGTATGTTATATGTTGGCTTTATTATTAATGCAGAACAAGACGAGGGGCTTGAGAAATTAGAGGAGACTGTGATAAGCACCAAACATATAGCATTGGCTGTTAATGAGGAGCTAGGCTTGCAAACAAGACTCATTGTATGAGTTATATTTTGCTGGTTCCTACTGAACTACCTCTACAGATATTTTCCATGTGAAATATGGCTTTTCTACTATTGAATTTGGATATTGACTTCATCTTGCTTTCGTTGTCTGACTCAATGCAGGATGACCTGGATGAACATGTTGATGTTACTGACTCAAGACTTCAGGTGACAACTTTGTCGCTTTTGAAACAACTCATGCAAACCTGATATTGTTGGTTGTTAACCTTGGTACTAATTTTTCTGAATATTGCACTTAATAACTTCACTAAGAGTCTACAAACATCTTTCAGCTTTCATGAAAATATTCTAGGGAGGTCCATCATTTGGGATAAGTAAGCATGTCACATCTAGCTGGAGAAAAGAAAAAAAGCTATTCCATGTTGAGTTCGTATATGATACCTGTGGAACAATATTAAATTAAGTTATTACACCCCCACAACATCCTTTTCTTCCTGGCTTTTGGTCATTCGTTGATTTTGAAGAACTGACAAGTGAGTTTGAGTGTTGAAGTGAATACCATTTGGGTCCCTTCGCTATATGAATCCCCATTCTTCATTCTTCATAATTTTAACTTTTTGTTACTCTAGCCATTAACCTACTGCAGCCTGCCTCATTTATACAGGAAAGGCTATGCTTTGTACATAGGCAGAGTTAATGGGTCCCTTTTGATGACATTGATAATTGTTAAATATGTGTGGCTTATGACCCTAGAAAACAAGTTCTTTACTGTCGGTTTTTTGGGTGGGGGTTGGATTGGCGCTGAATGCTCTAAGCAAAATTTATCCTTTTTTATTGAGGTAACAATTTGTCGGTTTGATAGGAAATCTCCACATACAAGGTGTTTTAACTTGATTTTTTGGTCAGCATTTTAACGTGATTTTTTACGAACATGTAATCCAGAAACAAAAAATAGGATTGTGACACTAATAGGGACACGGGTGCTTTAATTGTTTCAAACTCTTTTCTATTGCTCTCTCTCTTTCCTTAAGTTCACATGGGTGCTGAAGAATTTGCTTCATACGCTCTACTCCTCTGCCTCAAGCTCTTTGACTTCAACCTCAGTAGCATCTCTTTAACCATTCTTGTCATCAACTGTTCAATTCCAAATATGTTCCAGGCTATGCACCATATGTACGGAATCAAGCGATGAGACTAGCCTGTTTGGCCAAGTTTCTAAAATCAGCTTATTTTGAAAAATGTTTTTTTCAAAGTGCTTTTCAAAAAAGTACTTTTAGTGAGAAGTAGTTTCTGTTTGGCTAATTAATTTGAAAAGCACTTTTGAACAACAATTAGTGGTTGACCAAGCTTTTAAAAAAGTGCTTCTAAGTGTATTGTTCTCAAAAGTGCTTTTAAAAAAAGTGCTTTAGGGAAAAAGCTACTACTTTTTTAAAACTGTTCTTCTTCTACACAAACATTTTTTCCCCTTCTAAAAGCTTGGCCAAACACCTAACTTTAGAAAAAAGCACTTTTGGACCAAAAAAGTACTTTTAGCAAAAAAGAAGCTTGGCCAAACATGCTATAAGCAAGTTGATTATTCCTTTAAGCGTTTATTCAATCTTCATGTATAAACCTAATGTTTTACCGCACCAAAGAAAAAAGGGAGAAGAGGGGCATGTGTTCCTGGAGTACACACATGGATGAGGAAGGACAAACTAACTATTTTTACTAAACATAGTGTTGTGCACCACGGATTCTCATAGACATGGTGAAGTTTCTAGAATTTTTGAGCTTATAATTGTCCACTGTGAAATAAACTACTTCTATGCATGATCTATTTTGTTTGATGTGCAAATATAGCTATATAGTCTCAAAAAGTGTGCATGATTGATGAAGAAAGGGGAAATGCCATCATCTTTGGAAATTAGGGAAGTTTGCAAATTACAGAGTTACTCGAATCCACAATCTTATCCAGAAGCTTTGGATCCATCCACATTTGATATTAAAGCATGTTGTCTAGGAGCTTTGGGTGGCAAAGAAAACAAAGAGAACACAAGAAAAGAAAATGTAATATTATTTTGATACTTATGAACTTGCAATCAGAGAAAAAAATATTAAACATCATATTCATGGTCAAAGAACTTCCAGCTCTGGCTCTTAGGAGAATAAAGAGGTTGGCCTGGAAAACTTTGGGTGTCTTTGTTGGATGGGAGAGTATAAGAGACCTCGATGCATGTTAACAAAGCTGTTATATCTTATGAATCTTGGTAATATTGATGAAAGATTTCAGTTTTCCGCTTTTATGCACACCTGTGCGAGTTGGAGGACATTGATAGTGTCTGGGCCGAGGCGTTCTTTCCTTTATCTTTTACTTCTACAATACTGTCTTGGTGATAATTCTCTGTTCGCATTTAACTTACTGTTCCCTCTTGTTGTTGCTGATAATTAAACAGCGAGTTGGGAGGAAGCTTGCAGTTTTGAACAAACGCACAAAGGGTGGTTGCTCTTGCTTGTGCATGCTTTTATCGGTGATTGGGATTGTACTACTTGTTGCAGTTATATATATGTTGATAAAGTATTTGTAAATGGGTGGAAGAAAAGGTAAACTGTAAATGCAAAAGAACTATGTACATCGAGTGTGCCTCGCAAGAACTTAAGTCTTCCCTCTGCTTCTCTTTTCATGCATTGCTTGGGTGATTTGATATGTTCCATGATAGTGATAATTGACTTTTCTGTATTGATGACATATTCTAAGCTCATGTTCCACTTGGCATGTTTTCAAACTTGAAAAATTGTTAAAAGCTTATTTCCCCGTTTTTCTAAGGGACATCTTTAATTATGCAGCAATTCTTTCCTCTTTGTGAGGAGCAAATGTTAATATTTCAATCGCATGAATCATAATCAAATTTGTGTGGAACTTTGTATTAGAAAACACATTGTCTGTACTGTTCTTCCAAGAATTTTTAACCTATTGGTCCTTTAAGTTGAGGTGTTGATTGACTCCTGGATTGAATGTAAAGTCTTTAAAACTTTGCTGTTACGGGTCCAGATTTGGCTAAAAAATGACCGTTTCGGATTTTAATTGCGACCACATGAGGACTAAACCCATTCCTCAAATATGATACTAATCACAAAATGTCACTCGAGTTTGAACTCGGAGGATATTTGGGGTCAAAGACTTCTCGGCACCCACTTGAGTTTTGGTAGCACGTATTCCTCCTTAGACCTTTATCAGTTCATAAGAGAATTATATAATTTTTGCGCTTTACTTTTGTCTATCTTTCATAGTATTATTAAAAGCGAAAAGTGCAAAAAAGTCACAAGGTTCATGGCGCTTGACTCGAAAATTGAGAAGGTAAGCACATGCCTCGAAAATTGAGCAGGTAAGCACATGCTACTTGAAGTGAATCGCACAATTTACAGGTAATCTTAAAAAAATCAAACATCCATATATTTAGTACAGTAAAACTTAAATTGCAATTAAAATAACTAATTTTAGCATCAAATAGACAATGATATTGATTTAATCCGATTTCTTGAAGTTGTGATTTAAAGAAGCGACATGTCTTTTGTCATAGAATAGAATGCTGTTGATAATAGAATGCTTGCTGCAGACATGTCTTTTTTCATTAAAAGTGTTTTTACTATGATGGAAAATCATTTTTCATGAAAAATATTTCCTTAGATATTTGATTGGTGACTAAAAAATATCAAAGCACAAAACATTAAAGATTAAAATAAATATAAGCAAATCGAACAGTGTCTGCTGAAATTTTTGAGTATAAAAATTGATAATAATGTATAATAGTTTGTTGAAGCAAGTGAGATGAAATTAGAAGTTACGATAGTTATAAAAATGACTTCCATTCATAAGCGAGTGAAGTCATTTCCCTCCTTTTGATAGAAAATATTTTCCTAGAAGAACATCTTACGTACCCATACACCAGAATTATGACTTTCTCGTGAAAAATGACTCCTGTCGTACCAAAAACATCATCTTATAAGGATTCACTACATACACATACTATGTCCAGAATGGTTTTGACCTTCAGTTGTGAATTCTAAGGACTATATCTGCCAATAGGAACGGTATTTCTAGCCCAAACTTGATAAAAAGTTGAGGTAATCCATGACAGAATGGTTAAACCTTAAAAAACTAGTTATAAATAGATTGTTTGTGTGAAAATTACAACAGCAATCAACTTTAACGAAGTTGATATATTATGAATCCCATGCTTTGCTAGAGAGGAAATAATCAGCTGATACAAAAATGTTACAGGCGTGTTGTAGTAGAAAAACAGACCAGAGACGGTATGCATCTAATAAAACTCATCATGATTTATAAAGCCACATGTAAGTGTAAATAATCAGGTACACTCATCAGACCTGACCCGTTGTGGTACAAATAAGTGTAAGGAATCCCCCAAAAAAAAAAAGAATCATTAATAAAAAATAACAATGGAGAGATAACAAACTAAGAAGGAGCTAAAAGAACAGCCTCCGAGCAGCTGGTCGAGGTTTTGTGGAAGGAGACTCTGATGACCTCAAGGTATCAGGTGATACCGTTCTTTCTGTGGTTCCTTTGCTCTTATCAACTAGCTTTGCTCCTCGAGGGTCAGTTAGAAGAGAATTCTGAAATGACTGTGCGAAACCAGTTGCAATTAGAGTCACCTGGATCTCTCCATTATAGCGCTCATCCACAACAGCACCGAATATGATGTTGGCGGATGGATCAGCCAAGCTTGTGACAACCTGTGAGGAAGTATTGCCAAGCAATGACTATTAAAAGTACCGCTTTGTATGTGAAAGCTGAAGGTTTTCTTTTAAGAACTTCTTGGAATAGAGTGAAACTACATGTATAGTTGAAGGTTTAGGAAAATAAAACAAGTAAAAGAAAGTTTGACGCACCTGGGACACCTTATTCACCTCCTGCAAAGTAATATCTTTTCCTCCAGTAATGTTATATACAACACCAGTTGCAGATTGAATTGATAATCCAATGAGAGGGGCCAGAGTTGCTTGTTCAGCTGCTTCCTCAGCACGGTTCCTACTGGAAGAAACCCCAACTCCGAGCATAGCAGTTCCAGAATCTTTCATGATTGCCTTAACATCTGCAAAATCCACATTTACCAGCCCAGGTATCTGCAACCAAAATGAATGGATTAACAATAAACCTTATATCCAGATCTATAAATAAGTATCTAGTGAAATAATGTTCAAAACATGCTATCTAGTAATTATCTCAAATGTCACTACCCAGTTTTAATTTGTTAAACCCTTCAAGGATATTAGACAAACATAACATTCTGGAGATATAAGTTTAATTCAGAAAACCTATCCGATGGTCATTAATCAAAACATAGAAGCAGCTAATGACAGTGATGATATTAAACTGGATGGACTCAGGAGAGGAAGGCATCCTGCACTCTCCGCTAGCATATTTTTAACATTTTTGCACCTTATTTCCAGTCAGAAAACATGCAATGTTGACAACAAAATAACAAGGCCTATTTTTGCGACTGTGCATGTGACCGCAAGTGTGTTTCATAACAGGGAGATCTAGAGGGGATTAGTTGACAACAAAATAACAAGGCCTATTTCTACGACTGTGAATGTGATCGCAAGTGTGTTTCATAACAGGGAGATCGAGAGGGGATTAGTTGAGTTGGCTATATGAATCATTTGTCTCCGATACGCTCTACTCAGCATATACGTTTTATATAAAGAAAACTATACCATGAAATTTCAAAAGAGAACTTATGTGGAACAGATACTGAAAGAAAAAGAAAAGAACTTCTGTGGAACCTTAGCTGATTTAGAAAAGAACTTCCTTGAAGCAGATAAAGAGATACTGCATTTGGATGAAGGAACTCACAGTGATTATATCAGATATTCCTTGGACGCCTTGACAAAGTACATCATCAGCAAGAAGAAAAGCATTTTGAAGTGGTGTCTGCTCATCAGCAATATCCAGAAGACGATCATTGGGAATTACTATAAGAGTATCTACATTTTTCTGAAGTTTTTCAATTGCTTCCAAAGCCTGGAGATCATTAAGCAAAAATTATAATCTTGAAATAATTTGGGAGATAGGAACACAGGATAGTGGCACGGAAAAGAAAAATCAACGAGTTACTAGAACTCTGAGCATCTTGTTAAGGTTTAGACTACTGAAAAATGTTGCCTTCAAAAGTACTCAAAATCCTTTAGATTCACCAACCGCCACCTATTTATGAATATTTCCATTTTCTTCTAATAAAGGCTGGTGTATATCAAGCACAATCCCCCCCCCCCCCNTACACACACATATGGTAAACCACACCCCCAAACCTTCCGTATGGAGGATCCAAACAGCGGATTTTCCCACATACCAGGAAAGGAACATTCACCATTCCGCCTGAAAATAACAACTATCTGCACCTAATTACGTGGTATCCAGGAACTCTGCCTTACTTTGATAGAAACCCCTTAACATGCCCTAAGATGCCTTGGATCCCATTGGCATTATGCCTTAAAATTGAAGCATCAGTTAGTAAAAATTCACTGACACGTTTAAAAAACAACTCCAAACAACCATCATGCTACCCTACTATCTTCTTTCCCAGCACAACCTTTCTTTGCTCAGCCAACCCGTTGTCATACTCTGCATAATATTTAAACTAAGTGAATTCCACACTAACCATGCTCGCAGATTTTATGGATATTAAATTGCATCTAACCGCAAATATTTCTAGTTCTTATAGAGGGATAGAAACCCCATTTTTTTGGATCTAGCAATTAGTTGAACCACGACCAAATTATATCCTTTTTAACTGCATGCTCTTTAATTTCTTACATTTCTTCTATTCCCTTAAATGTCCTACCTGTTTATTCTTGGATGTCACTTAAATGTCATAAAATAAACATTTCCAAAAGTTCAGGAGAGCAACAATCACAATTAGCTTCTTCAAAGAGGATGAAAACGGCACCTGCCTGCAAAGATCTTTTACGTCCTTCAAAGCTGAATGGATACGTGACGACACCAACAGTCAAATAACCTGCTTCTTTGGCTATTTGAGCAACAACAGGAGCAGCACCAGATCCAGTACCGCCACCCATGCCTGCTGTTATAAACACCATATCCGAACCTTTAAGAGCATTTGCAATGTGTTCCTTTGACTCCTCTGCTGCCTGTTCCCCCAACAGAGGATTGCCACCAGTACCTGCATTTCTAGAAGTGACTTTTATGAACAACCCATTCTATAGAACAATAAAGGGTTAAAAGCTTATGTTAACAAAGAACACTAGCCTCAAAACGTATTAGAAAACAAATGCATCCTAGTAGCTACAGCAACGTATGACTTCAAATTATAACATAGATAAAGCAAAAGACTGTCATCTTCTGAGTGACTCTGAATTAAGGAGATAGAAATAATCTATAGCTGTCTCTGGAGTTGGGCTGAGCATCATACTATAAGCGTCTTGCTATTCTTTCGCTAAAGTTTTGCCAACAAGATTCATGCTATATATATATATATATATATATATATATATATAATCTTTGTTAGCTTTACAAATAGCTGCTCTAAAAGAGAGCTTCTGAAGAATAAATTTCTCTACAGATAGATGAAAAGGTGCAAACCAAGTCCACGAGTCAGAAGTTCTCCAATTTGAATTGGGTTCTCAACCGTAGACTGCAGCAANCCCTCCATCGACTTCCCTTAGATGGGCATCCGACTCAAGCTCGAGGCCCCGATTTCCATCCATTCGGTTTGATTATTACACTATCTACAAGTCTTATCTTATCTTCTAATCTTTCACTTAGCATCTATTGCCTAACAACTAGCATACAAACAGATCACGTATTTTTAGAACCACAAAATCAAATCTAATTGTTATTACCATTTTCAAGGTAAACAGTTTGGCGCCCACCGTGGGGCTAAAAATAATAGTGATTATTTTCTTACTGGTTTACTACATAATGCAAGTTATCTTTCACGTTTTTTCTTGTCCAAGAATCTTTGATTTCACTTCAAAATGTCTAACTCAGTGAATGCGTATGAAAACAATGGTCTCGAGGACCATGGAGAGAATGGTGTAGCTGTTCCAGGTATTGGCGCAACACCGCTAAACCCTGAGGGCGCGCCGGAGCCAATCCCCGCGGATGTGGTCTCACGCGATGCCCAACACGTCGATATAAGCTCCCACACTAATAGAAGCGTATGCCAAGGAGACCAACAAGAAGCTCAGAAAACCCCAGCTAGAGAAGAACGAGAGGTTAGCCTTCACGTTTTTTTTGAAATGTTACATGCACAACAACTGGCAATTGCTCAGCTACAAAGCCACCAGAAAACTAAGCACGATAGCACCGGAAACAGTTCCCCAAGCCGAGTAGGTACCAGAAAGATCAAGCAACAGCGGGTCGGCAACCAACACCGCCATCATAAAAATGCTCGAGAACCTCACAAAGAGGATCGAGTCGGGTGAGAAGAAGATAGAAGCCAACGACAAGAAGGTCGATCAAATTTCGGGCGCACCCCCGATCCTGAAGGGTGTAGATTCGAAGAAGTTCATACAAAAGCTGTTCCCACACGAAGCGGCTCCAAAACCCATTCCAAAGAAGTTCAAAATGCCCGATCTTCCGAAGTACAACGGAACCTCGGACCCCAACGAGCAAGTCACTGCTTACACTTGTGCGATGAAGGGCAACGACCTAAAGGACGATGATATTGAATCCATCCTACTAAAAGTTTTGAAGAGACACTTTCAGAAGGGGCGATGATGTGGTATCACAACATAGCCCCAAACTCGATGGACTCGTTTGCCATGCTGGCAGATTCCTTCATAAAGGCACATGTTGGTGCCATCAAGGTAGCTACAAGGAAATCCGACGTATTCAAAATCAAACAGAGGGAGAATGAGATGCTGCGAGAGTTTGTATCTCGCTTTCAAATGAAACGAATGGAACTACCACCAGTCTCCGACGATTGGGCAGTGTAGGCCATCACTCAAGGTTTGAACGAGCGAAGCTTGGTAGCTTCAAAGCAGTTGAAGCAAAACTTAGTCGAATATCTCGTCGTGACTTGGTCGGACGTCCACAACCGATACCAATCAAAGATCAGGGTTGAAGACGACCAACTAGGAGTTCACTCGGGCTTGATATATCCTAGCAGGCTTCCGGCAAAGGAGCCAAAGCCAAACAAAGAAAGTGTATATGGTGAAATTGGAGGGTCCGATTTCTCGTCATTAAGGTATGTTCGGGGAGTCATATCGATATCTCGAGGCTGTGGGGTTGCGGTCGAGTTGTCTCCCTCGAGGTTCATTTACGTTCGACCCAACAATGATCCCGAGGATGGGAAATTCCCGAGGTGAGTAGATAACACCAGTGTAGTCAAATATCATGTCTAGCCATCCCATCTCCATATCTTTACAATTAATGCATTCTGTACTATGCTGAATTTTCCCTCCTATATAAGGGGGATCCTCACCACTTTGTAAGGGGCTGATGTTGCTCCAACCATTCTACACAAGATGAATAATAACTCTCTCTCTCTCTCTTCTCTCTCTAACTTACACACTCGAGACTACCGCTCTCATTTATTGTTTTCATACTTGTTCATCATTTATCGCTTGATATTGGCCATAAAGAGCCTCTTTTTAATGATATCCTAACTGTTATTCCCTTCCTGGTTACCCCCGATAGCTCGAGCTCGGGTCCAGGCATCGACCTCGAGGCCCCTCATCGGCCAGTTCGAGGCCAGAATAACTGATCTCTCAGTTCGATCATAGTTCTATTTTAGCTCGCATTTCATCTCTTATCTTCATACGCCTAGCATCATCTGCTCTAACAACTAGCATAAAAATAGATCACGTATTTTTAGAGTCCCATTAACAAATTTAATTGTTATTACCATTTTCACGGTAAACAGTTTGGTGCCCACCGTGGGGCTAAAAATAATAGTGATTATTTTCTTGCTAGTTTCATTACACAAATGCAAGTTATCTTTCACACTTTTTCTTGTCCAAGATCTTCGATTTCTGGTCAAAATGTCCAGCTCAGTGAACAGAGTCGAGAACGACAACCTCAAAAACCATGGAGAAAATGCTGTGGCTATTTCAGTTGCTGGCGTGCCACCGTAGAACCCCGATAATGCACCTGGACCGATTCCAGCGGACGCGGATTCGCAAGACGAGCAACAGGTCGACGAAACCTCACACACCGATAGGAGCATACAACATGGCGACCAACAGGAAGCCCGAAACACCCAGCCCGAGAAGAATAAGAAGTTAGTCTTCATGTTATTTTTGAAATGTTGCAGGCACAACAGTTGGCTATCGCTCAGTTGTAAAGCCACCCGAAGACTCTCAGCACAGTAGCACCGGAAACTACTCCCCCGGCTGAACAGGTACCGGAGAGATCGAGCAACAACGGATCAGTAGCCGATCCTGCCATCGTGAAAATGCTGGAGGACCTCACCAAAAAGATCGAGTCAGGCGAGAAAATGATAACAGCCAACGATAAGAAGGTCTAAACCTATAACTTCAGAGTCGACCGAATCCCGGGCTCGCCCCCGGTCGTGAAGGGTGTAGACTCGAAGAAGTTCGTACAACGACTGTTCCCAGAGGAAGCGGCTCTGAAACCCATTCCAAAGAAGTTCAGAATGCCAAAACTCCCAAAATACAACGGGACCTCAGATCCCAACGAACACGTCATTGCCTATACGTGTGCGGTGAAAGGCAATGACATAAAAGACGACAAGATCGAGTCCGTCTTACTGAAGAAGTTCGGAGAAACGCTCTCGAAGGGGGCCATGATGTGGTATCACAACCTAGCTCCTAAATCCATAGATTCATTTGCCATGCTAGAAGATTCCTTCATAAAGGCGCACGCCGGTGCCATCAAGGTAGCAACAATGAAGTCCGACGTATTCAAGATTAAACAGAGGGAGAACGAAATGCTACGGGAATTCTTGTCTCATTTCCAAATGGAACGAATGGAACTACCCCCGGTCTCCGATGTCTGGGCAGTGCAGGCCTTCACTCAAGTCCTGAATGAATGAAGCTCGGTGGCCTCAAGACAACTAAAAGAGAATCTGATCGAATATCCCGCCGTAACCTGGTTGGACGTCCATAATTAGTACCAGTCAAAGATCAGGGTCGAGGATGACTAGCTGGGAGCCCCCTCGAGCTTAGTATATCCGAGCAAACTCTTAGCGAAGTAGTCAAAATCGAATAAAGAGAGGTACCGACCGTACCCCGATGATATGAGGAATGCTCTGAGACGCAATCCGCCTTGCAACGATCAATTGGTGAACAGAGGATAGAACCCTCGGGGACCCATCAACAGAGGTGGCTTCGATGGGGACACAGGGCCAATAGGGGCACCTCATCTATCAGAATACAACTTCAACGTCGATGTATCAGATATCGTGTTTGCCATCAACAAAATCAGGGATGCCAGATGACCCAGGCCTATACACACGGATCCTTCCCAAAGGAACTACAACTTGATATGCGAGTTTCACAACTCGCATGGACACAGAACCGAGGATTGCAGGCAACTCCAAGAGGAAGTGGCCTAGCTACTCGATAACGGGCACCTTCGGGAATTTCTCAGCAACCGAGCTAAAAACCAGCCCTGAGAAAGAGAAACAACCAAAAAAAACAAAGCAGACGAGCCCCAACACGTCATCCACATGATTGTTTGATGCATTTCCTCGGCCATATTCAAAAAAGAGACCACATCGCATCCGCCAAACGAACGCTGGAACCCAAGAGCGCCATCGCCACTAAGGTATAATCATCTCTCCCTTTTTCTATCTTTTACCTCACGGTAACTCTTGCACAGGCCAGTGGCCAAGGCAGTCGGGATGCCGCTTCAGCTCGAGCGCCCTGAGATTTCACAGCGTCCGTTGCACACTTTTCCTTCGACCGGGTTTTTATCCTGAAATGGGTTTTTGCCGGTAAGGTTTTTAATGAGTCAACGTCCACGCGCTACCTAAGAAGGACTCAACAAGCTTACAGGGTTTCCTTAACAATCAACCCTATACCAGGAAATGACAAACGAGGTTCCGATAGGAAATGATGTACTGGGCCAAACGGTCGAACGAACCGTGTCCGCATAAGCCGAGCTTACGGCAACACAACGACATGTATTTACGCCAAACAATCAAAGAATATCTTTCGCCAAAAGCATCTCGTACTCCAAAGAAAATTCGACATATTCACAACAAGGATCCTTCCATCGAGTACGTCCCGAAATACTCGGAGACTAGCGTCAACAATTTGATACCCGCATGGCCTCAGGGTTGGAACACCATGCTCATAAGTCCTCAATGATGCAATTTCGAGCTCACGAGTAATGGTCTCCGAGCCTAAGCAAACTCGATGACTCGGAGACTGTCACCAATCGCCACTCACTAAAAAAAACCCAAGGCCATGAGACCTCGAGAGGGCAAACTCGATCTGGCAAGATCCATTTTACATAAGCAACGAAAACTGTAAGACCTTAATAGGCATGAAAAAACAGTAAGACCTCAACATGCATGAAAAAAAAATTGTAAGACCTCAACAGGCATGAGAAAACTGTAAGACCTCAACAGGCATGAGAAAACTGTAAGACCTCAACAGGCATGAAAAAACTGTAAGACCTCAACAGGCATGAGAAAACTGTAAGACCTCAACAGGCATGAGAAAACTGTAAGACCTCAAC